TTTCCTTGTTTTTCCCTGCTGAAAATTAGGATAAGCAATAACTATGCTCATTAGCCTTTGAGGTTTCGTTGCCTAGGAATGTTCTTTCTTCAAACCTACGTTCTCACGGACACACACACATTCTAACAGGTGTAGTATACACACATTCCTTTCATTCAATATTTTAATAAATACTTGTCGATAACTACCAAGAAACTAAGGCCTAGAGACACACCGAGAAATAGGAGTCATCTAGGTCTTCATAAGCCTGGCAATCTAGTGGGAGTTTCAGAGAATCAGTGAGAAAACGAGTAGAGATGGTAATTCCAAGTTACGATGAAAGCCATGGAGGAAATAAACCCGGGGGTGAGATGGCCAGTTACTGGAGGAGCCCATGGATAGAGACAGAGGCTTCCCTGGAAGGCAGTCTTCAAACTGAGGCTGGAATGGGAACCATGAGCCGGCCATCAAGAGAATAGGAGGCAGAAAGTGCAGGCGGGGGGAAGAGTAGATGCCCAGAGAAGGGTTGATGTAGACAACACTCCCAACTGTGGTTTTGTGGCCACACTTTAATAAGCAAGGAGGAAAATGGAACGAGATGAAGCTGGGCAGGGAGGCGGGAGTCAAATTAAGCCAGCGTCTGTAGGTCGTGGGACCGAGTTTGGATTTATACTTAAGAACAAAGAGAAATAAGGGCTAGTTGACAAGTTTCTGCTTGTGACAGGACTTGTGGTCTGCTCTGGCTACAGTCTGGAGTGGACTAGAGAGGGACAAGAACGGATACTGGAACCCAGGAGGAGGAGGGTGATGTCTGCCAGGAGGGTGCTGTGGCCTGGGCACCAGTTGTCACAGCGGGGTGGGGAGAAGAACATGGATTGGGCTGATTTTGAAAGTGAGAAAGGTCTTTCCCAGGTGTGAAGTGGTGGGAGAGGAAGGTAAGGCTAAGGGGACCTCCCAGGTCTTTTGCTTGAGCTCCTGAGAAAACTGTGGTAACCAGCCCTTATTCAATCCCGTCTGTGTCCCAGAAGTGGTTCGTATTTATCCAGAGCTTACCGTGTGCCAAGCATGTGTTTTACGTGTTCTCTCATCGTTCTTTACAACATCCCTATGTGAAGTAGATCTCAACATTATTTCTGTCTTAGGGATGAGGAGAGTGAGGCCCAATGTGGGTCATGTCCCCAGGCTCCTAGGACTTGTCTGTAAGAGGTGGAGTCAGAGTCTATAGGCAGCACTCTGAACCCAGAGCCGCCTTGGTGAGACGATGAATATTACACTTCAGGAAACGCTGTTCTGCATTTTAATTGCCAAGATCCTTACTGTTAGCTTCTGTTTGTCCTCGGGTCCATTCAGATGTGACCACTTTGCTGCTGCAGCTTGTGTTCTCACCCAAGTCCCCAAAGAACAAGTTATTTTTCTAGTTGTGCTAGAAAGACAAGTAGTGCAGATGGATTAGAATTATAAGTGTAAATGAAGTTTGAAGATTGTTTGTTCTATCTCTGATTAAAATAAGAGAGTTAATCATATATATTAATAAATTTATCTATATTAAAACAAATGATTTCCAAGATGAGCATTTTGGGTGCATTTCCCCCTTAGTAATTAGGGTTGGGAGAACCGTGTGGCATGAATCGGAGCATGTTATTAAATACCATATTACTCCTACTTAATTAGATCATTCCTTTTCTGGCACTTCTAGAGCTTCTTTTCCCCCACTCAGCGATGCACGAGGCATCCCTGACGTGTGACCCTCCTTTCTCCACACTTGTTCCTGACAGCACCTGCGTCTGTGACTCCAGCCCTGCTACCTGGCCACTCCTTACCCTTCCTCCTGGACCTCAGGGTCAGTGCTGCACTTCTTCTGCACCTCGGCTCCATGCAGTGTGTAGAGGTGGGGGGAGTGCACCCCTGGCGGACAGAAGGGGGAGCAGAGATTAGCCACACAAGGAGGAGAGCCAAGTCCAAGTCCTGCCTCAGAAAGTTAAGGCACGTTTCGTCTGCACTAGCTGTGCAGGCCCCATGGGATAAACCAGCATTCAGATCCCGAGCGCTGAGCTGTTACCATTTACACAGAGTTCACAGCACTGTGCTAAACTTAATGTTTATAAGTGAGCACACACGAGGTAAGGACCACAGTCCCTGTGTCTGTCTCACTCCTATCCCTTATACATAAAGAGAACACAATACTGTAAAGTTCAACCAGAGACGGCCCTGGAAAGATGAGTGGGAAGCACAGAGGGATGCCTGGCTGGAGGGTTTAGGGGGCAAAGGGAGAAGAAGCCCTATTCCATCACACCCAGCACTCAGTTGTTAAGGACAGCTCTGAACAAGAGAGGTTAGATCACTGTCTCAAGGAATGAATGAATTTTTTACATGATGTCTAATTCTTCTACCTCCTTCCACCTCCATAGTGAGATCTGTCTCAGAGAGTAAAACAGGCAGCAGGAACACAAAGCAGGAATACAGAGAGAGTTAACAACAGGAGAGCAGGAGGAAAGGTGAAAGACAGCCATCAATTAATACTTCATTTTTCAAATCAGAGAAAACCTCGGCATTCAGTAATGATGAATCAATGTTGCTGACAGATACATAATGTTTGGATCCCAACAATCTAATTCTTCCATCAACAGAAAAGGCAGGTAATTACCACATTATTAGAAGGCTTAAAAATACAGGAGGGAATGCCACACAGGTATGAGGACCATTCTCTGACTCATCCTGTTTAGAGTCAGGACTATGTTCTAAAATAATCAACACTGCCAGAGAAGGGTGGGCGAAGTTAGTTAAAACCCATGGGACATTTCCTATTACAACTGTTTTTTTTTTATTATTATTACAGAAAAAATTCAAACCTTTGAAGGGTCATTTTAGTTGTGGAAAAACAGGCCTGATGACGCGCCAATTGTGAGATTAATGGTAAATAGAGAACCGAATTGTTCCACATGATAAAATGGGAAAAATTTAGGTTTCAGGGACTAGGTGTAATTGAGGGGCTGGGAAAACTGGGACAGAAAAGGTGAAAGTAGAAGATCACCATCAAGAGAAAGTCGGGAAGTGAGAAATAAATTCCCAGTAGCTCGAGTAGCCGGAGAACTCTTAAGAATAACAATGTCTGATGTTATCTTTCTGTTGTGCTGTAACTCAGTGTAACTGTTCACCAAATCAACAGTAAAGTCCATTACACATCCTGCGATAACTACTCTGTTTGGATTACATTTAGGAGAATTTCAGAGGGTTCTAATCTACAGGGTGTCCCAAAGGTCAAATATTTACACTATTACAATATTTACAAAATACTCTCTACATGTTGGCCACTTCATTGTAAAATTTTCTGTATTTCTTTTTTTTTTTGCAGGTTTTTTGGCCTGGGCTGGGTTTGAACCCACCACCTCCCCATTATAAAATTTTCTAATGATTATTTTGTAAATAAAGATATATTTAGCTATAATTTCCCATTTTCTCTATGTATGTCAACTTTATGGGTGACCTTTGAGAGACAGGGTATTTGGGGTCAATAAGAAAAGACAAGGGAGCTGCCCTAAGAGGTAACACATAAATGAGACCAAAATTCAGCAGAAGCTGAATCCCACTGGGTGGCAGGTGCCTGTAGTTCCAGCTTCTTGGGAGGCTGAGACAGAAGAATCAGTTGCTTAAGGCCCTGTGTCTGTGAATAGCCACTGCACTCTAGCCAGGGCAACATAAAGAAAAGGAAGGACAAAAAAGAAGGGAGGGAAGGAGGAAAGGAAGGTAAGGAAGATCAGTAAAACCTGAAAATCCAAACTGATGTAACTATAAGAAGTAAGCCCCAAAGTATCCTTAAGATGCTGGGGCACACAGCCCCAGCACATTTGCCTCCATAGAGGGACAAGACATTATTTGAACTTAAGCTAGAGAAAAAAAAAAAAAAAAACCCACAAGATAGTAAGAAAGAAAAATGTAACAGCAGTATGCTCTGCTTGGTGGTATTATAATACACATTAAAAACAGTAACTTCAATTTTTTATTTTCTGAAATTTATATAATATCATTTTTAAAAATGGTGGAAACAATTGTTTTAAGAAAAAATACTATCTGCTTTTCTAAGGATATATGGAAAATCGCAAATAAATTACTCAGCAAAGGTGGGTTCATGGAGCCCCTGCAGGGTGGTCACAATTTTTTTAATGTTCACCCTAGACCCAACTGTTGATTTTGAGTTTTACTTGCAAAATAAACAGCTAGCCAAAAGCAAAGCACTGATAAAACTGGGTTTGCTCTGATTTATTCTAAAAGCAGAGACTTGCCTATGGCAAAATTCCTTAGGAAAACATTCCAACAGCTAAAAGAAAGCTATCAGCTTGTGCTGACACCTGGTGAACTTTCATTCATAAATTTCTTTCCTGCTCCTTGTACATCAGGAAAAAAAAACTGTTGCCCTTGGGCTTTCAACGTAGTATTTATATGCTTTGTAGGACATAAGTGTGTGAAAATGTATAAGGCACCCAATTAATGTTTGCTACTGTGATCAAGTTTCAATATTAATAAATATATTTGAGATCAATTTGAACCAATATTGAAATCATGTCTTAGTAAAAAAAGAGTTTTTTTCTAATATTTACTTATGATGTTTTTAGATTAAAGATCAGGCTGTTACAGATTTATGATATATAAATTTGTTGTTGGTTTCAGTGTGCACGAGTGATTGATGAATTTTACCTCATATACCCAATCTCCTATTCTACTCAAACCTTTTGCTCCAAGGAGCTCATCCCCCTTGACATTTTTCATAAGAGGGTACTCGTCCTTTCTAATACAAATCGATGGTCTGATTTTTCTCTTGCTGATTTATAAACAGTAGTTTCCCTTTTGTATTTGAATTATGGTGTTTTGAAAAAAATGTTGCCAACATTTTTAGAGGAGAAATAAACAAATGCCCAGTGGCTCCTTGTTCCCTCTCCCATTAAGCATTCAGTAGTTTTCATTATCCTTGATGTCTTCCCTCCCTCTCCCCTCGGCACGCCCCGTTCTTGGCCAACATGCCTGTTTCCAGCCGGAATACTACAACACTGCATTCCAGCTCCACATCACTCCTTTGCTCATTACGTTCTGCCCAGTGCTTTGTCTTCCGTCCTTGATCTGCATTGTCCTGGCGCAAGGTCTCTCCTGAGGTGGAATCACGCTGCCAGGTGACACTGCCGTCATCTCAAGACTTGCCTGGCATGAAAGGATCCACTTAGGGGGTCACTCACATGGGGGCACTGGCTATCGGCCAACACCTCCATTCCTCACTACTCAGGCCTCTCCATAAACCGCCTCAGTGTCCTCACATCTGGCTTCTTCCAGATATATATATCTGGAAAGAGAGAGAGAGAGAACAAGATCTGACCCACAGGGATGGGACAGCAGGAGGTGGAGCTTGCTGGGGGTTGTCCTAGAGGCTGGCTACCATAGCACCCACACTTAGAAGCCCAGACTGAGTCCCAGCTTATCTATCCCTCAGGATTACTCCTCCATGAGTTCCTTCTTCTCAGAGCACTTTTTTGTTTTGTTTGTTTGTTTAATCAGGCCCAGGCTGGGTTGGAACTCACCAGCCCCAGTGTATGAGGCTGGCTCTTTAACCACTGAGCGCCCAGCCTCAGAGCACCTTTATAACAGATTCTATTAGTTACCTCTTAACGATGCCACTTTTTCCAAGTTTTTGTTTCACTTTAATCCTTCCTAGTGCAATGTAAACTCCTTATGCAAAAAAACTCACTTCAATTATGGGATGAATTTTTTCCTATCTCATTTTTACCAGTATGGGGCTTAGTAGATGAGTCTGCTTAAAGATAAGTGTTGTTCAGTGGTTCCAAACACTGATGCCCATTAAAATTACCTACAAGCTTTTAAAGGCACTGATGCCCAGGTGAAATTCCTAAATAGACATGGGCATTAGTTTAGTGCTTCCCAGGTGATTTTAACAGGCAGTGTCAGTGGCTTAGAAGACTTCCTGCCTTCTTCAGAAGATTAAGAGGAACTTATTTTGAATTATGGTCTTCTGTTCATTATCCTGAAATCCCACTAAACACTTCCCATTTTTAATACAGTTCTTATTTAAAAGAATTGAGACATTGATTAAGCATCCATAAGCACATTAGTGAAATCTAGTTTCATTTACATAGTTTTTTCTTCATACTGTCACAAATAAAAACATGCACAATTACTTTTCCAAAGGTGCAATTATCATGTCATCTAATAGAAAAATTAAATCACTAAATGTAACTAATAAACAATTGCTCAAGAGGCATGAAAACAACCATGACTGTAACTGTCATTCATAAAATTATTTCCAATAGATAAAATTAAAATTTATATTTTGAAGATTGCTTTCAATCCAGCCATATAGGATCTGTCAAGAGAGGGTGTCCAGCTCACTTGAAGCTCTTCATCTCTGTCTTTGACATTGTACATGACGTCTTTAAATTCCCCATCAATTCTGCCTCCAAAAGCTAAAAGGTTCACCCTCCCCAACAACAATCCAGTCCTTTAAAGGAGTAAAAAGGGCCCTTTCTGATACAAAAGAGCTTTTCAAAGATACGGTTTCTATGGCTTGAGGCGTCACAAAGGAGAGATACTCACTGATTAGTGAAGTCTGCTGTTTTTAATTGCTTATTTAGTAGTATCAGCCTCAGTTCTTTCACCACTCTATTCCCATCTCCTAATTTGAGTAAGTTCTGAGCTCATTTACCTGTTACGGATGTATGATACTATGAGGGTAGAAGAAGCTCTTTGAAAAATGTTAAATTAAATCATAAAGCTAAAGTTTAGGCCCATGATTTTCAAATGTGGTGCACATCCTTTATATTTTATCTGGAACATACATTAGGCCTAATCAGCCCCTGTGAATACTTTTAAGCTAGAACTAATAAGCTTTTCTCAGCATCTTGGTACCCATGGCTATTTCTGGAATTCTCCTTGTTCAGTGTAAATATATCAGACTAATAAAAAGTGCATGACTCTTAAAAGTAAACTGAGAAAAAATAAAATTGCAGCACTTGAAGACAAAATAAAAATCTGCTAATCACTGGTGTTCCTGATTAACAGATGAAATAATAACAGAATTTTAGAGGGCTTAACAGTAGAACAGAACCAACCCAGAACTGTGTTCTCCTACATAAAAAAGAAATCCAGAAGACGTTCCTTATTCTAAAAAGCTAAATTTCTATCCCAGAGATGAAAATGAATAGGACGTGATGTCAGATATTGTGTTTCCTTACCTTCTCCTGCCTTTGCCTTACATTATACCTCAATTTCTTCTCACATCAGGCCAGATTCTTTTGGTCTCAAGCTTCAGAAAGCTTAATTTTTAAACTGGGACTTTATATACTTCCTCTAAATCACTAGTTTAGCACCTGACTTCTTTTCTCATTGACCTTTATAAAATAGGACAAAATGCAGTAAGTAACGTTTGGACAATTATACATTTACATAATTGTCCAAATGTTTCTGCATAAGATGGTAATGCAGTTAAAATAAACTATTAGCCTGCAAGATGTCCAGAAAACAAGTATTCTAGGAGTATTGATATATTAAGACATGAAATACAGGCTTTAAATCTGCAGTCTCAAGGGAGATTTTTCCTCAAACAGTTGAAATATAATTTGTTACAATTAAATATAGCTACCATGTTACTACAATTTATTATATATTTTAGGCCTGAATGTTTGACTAGTTAAGAAAACCAAAATATAATTGTGATGAAGCGTGAGATGTCAGAGATATAATTGAGAGTTTCTTAAACAGGCAAAAACAAACAGAAATTTAAATGGAGCTTTAATAATCTGTCATTAGCATAAACAAATAGAGATAACTTCTATATTGTTGAATATAGTATCTCAAATGAGTTGGCAACAAAAATGAAGATGATATATTTCCTCACTTTCTTTCAGGAAATCACCTTGCACAGAGAAAGAGAGATAGTAACATAAACACCATTTTTTGGCAAAAGTAGTACTAAAACCATACACTAAAAAGTAAGTGTGGGAGGTAGACAGGCTGAATGCCTCACAGACCTTCCAACTAGGGAATGTCTATGTGACTATGCCTGCGTGGGGAAATCAGCAGTGCAGGTGAGCTGAGGCCATCAACTAGTAGCTTATGCTAGAGAAGCTGAGATGTCTGTGTCGGGAGATGAGACTTGCTCTCCCCCCTCTCTTTTGTTGGCACTGTTATCTGGCCACTTCAGATGTTCCAATATCCCATCCATGTCTTTGCTTTCTCTTTAAACAACTTTCCTGAGGGCTGCAATCTCCCCTGCCTCATTCTTAACCTTGAGTGCTGACTACTGACTGCTGTGTATCCTTGTACCTATATTCTGTTACGTACCCAATAAAAAGATTCCAGTAAACAGGACAGGTGCTACGTTGTTTTCCTGCTGCCACCAGGGACGTGAAACAGTGTGTGCCCTTACAGGCTTCTGGTTTTATGCACCAAGTTTGGTGTAAGTTTTGTGATTTCCCCAGTGCCATCTGACCACCATTCCAGGTTGGGGTCGACTAGATGCCCAACAAGTAAGTTAAAGGTTCCTGTAAGAGGGGAGATCAAGTGAGGATGTATGCAAAAGGGACAGGAGAAAAAACACCTCAAAAAGAGTGAACAAAATCACACTCTTAGAAGACAGGCATCTCTGAGGTGCAACCTCCAAATGCCTTCTTAGAAACAATGGAAATGGGATGCTCTGGACCCGGTTTACTTCCAAAAATTAAAAGGATGGCAATAAACAAGGAATTATACAGATTAGCCATATCCACAGAAAGAAGTCTTTCCTGCAGAAACTTAAGTAGAGATTTGGCATTGTGAAAATCTCCATAGGGTCTATTCTCCTTAACTTGGGAAAACTAAAGACTAGACAAACTCATTTACAAAATTCTGAGTCCTCAAGATAATTCCAGCTAACATGAGAATACGGTCTGGAAGTCTTCCACACACAAACCCCCTGGAAATAACAGATGCTGAAGAAAGATAAAAAAGCAAGTATCATCAGTCACAGACATATACATGTACAAAGAGAAAAAAAAAAAAAACAAGAGAAATATCTTACAAAGAATATTAAGAAGAAAAATGTTCTACTGTATAACAGAAACATTTGGACCAAATCCCTTCTGTAAAGAAACAGCTGAAAATATACTGAAGGGCTGGCTCGGCACTTGTGGCTCAAGCGGCTAAGGCGCCAGCCACATACACCTAAGGTGGCGGGTTCGAATCCCCAGCTCG